ATACTATTAACGTTCACACGAACATTCTGTTCTACATTTGTAATTCTTAAAGCGAATTAGTAATTCGAATTTCAACTCACACTATTATGTGTCACGTTCTGGGGAATGACTGTCCTGTTCTGGGGAATCCCGTAAAACTGGATTGCTATGGGAACAACCCCTAAGTTACATATTAATTTGTTAGAACAGACCCATAATTAATAATTAAATTAACAATTGAAATGCAATTATTCAGACTACGCTACGCACACATAATTTAGACGTGTACTAAAACAGCTGATTTCACAACTCAGTCACAGTGACAGGTCCGCTGTGACTGGCTGTGACAGCGCATCAGTGTCACCTGTCACACGTCGCCACATTGATAAGGTGTTGCCACGAATATAGAGCTAGGTTAAAAATAACGCGGATTTTGAGTGCACGTTTCATACTTTTACACGAATATTTAGAGTTCATCTAGGTCGACACTTATGAACGATAGCGCAGCTAGCTAAAAAAATGTTTCCTTTAGTAAAAAAAATCTAATATTATCTACAGTTTAGTCCTAGAACGAAGAATATTGTTACTTTACGGTTTTGAAGATTTACTTACTTTAGGAAATTCTTCTAAGTTTTCTCAATTCTCCAGCAAGCTACCTCAAATTCTATATGTAAGGTTTAATGTGTTTTTAATACGATGACAGCTAAGTACCCACTTAAATACGAAATGAAATCTCTTTTTGGAAAAACATTTCATTCTAACCCACAGTGTTCAAAATAAAATAAGAGATTTGATAATGGTCTGATGCTATTTGTCAAAGTCAAAGTCAAAATTTCTTTATTTGTTTGGACTAATAAATAGTTCTTACAAATCGTCATTTTGCTCTTAAGGAGCCTCTACATGTCTCATAATCTTTTTACCCTACCAGCGCTTCGAGACCAACATTTGGCAAGTGCTGAGAAGAAGCGCCGCAACAAACTCAGTCACCACTGTCTGCCGGTTAATATAAATAAATAGAAATAGTAGTAGTAGGTACATTCGATTCAGGAGCAGTTCACTGAATTTACCATGCATTCTTGTATGGTGTATCTTATAAGAATGGGTATACAAGATTGCGTGGTATATTAAACAAGGTAGTGACGTGCTAATATCTAGACTTACATATTAAGATACTAGTAGAAATGACTCGCATACATAAATTTGAATAACTTGGATTGACCAGTCCCCGAAAGCAGCGCCTGTTCACAGACATGACGAATGAACCAGCCATCGCTTCACTCGACCATATTAGAGGGAATGTAACGACCCGCCTCACTACGCCACCACCCCAGAGACATTTTAGTGAGAATGGCAATTCCAAGTTATCTCTTAAAAAAAAAACTAATAATAAAGCTAAGTAACAGTCCAGATTGTGTCCCCTAGACATACCAACTACGAAACTCCGAGTGTCACAGAGAGGATACAACTAACTGATATTATTTTTTTAAAATAAATAACTTCTAAAATCAGTCTACATGATTCGAAGTCCACACATGGCAAAAATACTCGTATCCAAGAATTTTGAATCATTGGATGAGTCAACAGCGTCTAGACATGACAATAAAATAGATTTGATCGCTTCACTGTTCACTGTCGTAGGTTTCAAAGTCAGCAAGAGTTTTATAGCTTTATTTTATTTTTTGAATAACATTTGAATGAAGCGAAAGTTGTCTTTTGTTTTTGATGATGTTAGCTATACTAAATTTTCAAACAAACGGCGAACAAACCTCTTTTCCACAGTGCCAGCCGCGTGCTTAGCCGGGCCCGGCGTATCTCCGAAATGCAGTTTGCTTGTGAAGTATTAGCACATATTGATGAAAAAGACCATAGTTCCATAGGGGCTGGATCCCGCACTCATTAGATTCACTTGATTTTGGAAATTGACAAACGCTTATGTGGTTGCCGAATTAAAGAACACACCGCTGTTGCGCACGGGCGTCCTTCCGAACTCAAAACTCTTGCGTCACTGGGGGGCGTCGCAATCGCAATCGCGAGCCTAGCTCCATAGGATTGGAAAGAATGTTGCCAGTTTGTGATTAAAAAATGCAATTAAGAAAAAGAGCAAATTCCTTCCAGTTTGTGTTGTTTTATCTTAAACTAAAATTAAGAAACTAATAAATAGGTATATTTCGGTACGAAACAGATGATAATCCTAGTTATTTTAAGGAGAATTTGAAGAAAAACCTAAAAAAACTATCGTTTATTAACTATTCTCTCACGGAAGTTAAAAAATAATAATATCCCCCTTCAGTAGTTTCTATACAAATTTCTTTGAATATTGTCCGTAAGTAGAACAGTCGAAGACTAGTTTGGCACGGGACAGAAAAGCCAATGAAGCGTGTAAATAGGTAGTATGACCGCTTAGCTAGATTCAAACATAATCCGTACATAACCAACATAAATTCAATTGTTCATTTAACAAAATACCTGTAAATATCATCGAAACGTAAAACTTATTCAATCGTTAATTAATTAACAGAGATTGCTGTTCGCCCAAAAAGGATAATATTTTTTTTTTTGTCAAACATTTTGCTGGTTAGTTATTTTTGAACAATTTTCATTTCAACACTAGTGTCGAATAGTAAAAATACCAATTTACGCCACTTTACTAGGAAACGTTTTAACATTTTTGACAAGTAAAAATAATTTAGTTCTTAGTAATGGGCAGTTACTACCAGGACTGCAGATCCACAGCCATACACAGGTATGAGTTGTATGTTATGACTGTTATTCGTTATTCTACTAAATAATTAAGCCTAAGCTAATTGTAACCTTACTGTTTATTAAGCTGATTGTTCGTTCGTCGTCGTCGTTGTTCTAAGAATTTGAATCAAATCTTTTTTGTGATTTTCATTTCTCAATCTTCCCATTTTGTGCATATTACACTTTCATACTTAATGGGCAAATCCTAGTAATAGGGATTCATTTAACTTAAAACTGTGTATTCCCGTTGGACCATACCGATGGTCATCCATAGACTAATCGTGAAAGCATATTTTTTGGGCTCGATATTTACCAATATGCAACAAACCAACACATTTCTTCCCGATGTCCGCTAGTGAGGACAACGGGAATAGACGTGAACTATCAGATAGTTGGCTGGAGGAGAGCTGTGCCAAAAGGCAGACCGAATTGTTCAAATATGAAGAAAAGATATTATTATGTATCTCCCCAACCAGCAGTCCGGAATCAAAGGCTGTTTTATTACTATCAGATGGTTAATCCCACTGCTGGTTCTTTGTCTGCTATTTCCGTACTTCCCAAACTTAACCCGCCACTGTCCGGATGTTTACCACCGGCACGTGGGGGCCCGAAATACCCGCGTCCCCTTCGCGCTGCGGCGATGCGCGGGCGACACCAGAAAACCCTTGCGCGTTGGATGAGATACGTTTTCCCGAATTTATCTTAGGATATTGGTAGTAAATATTCTTAACGCAATTAGTGCACGCAGTTGGTCAGTTTTTAGATTATTGCTTGTATTTTTATCGCGTTAATGATTTTTAAACTATTGACAAATGATTTTATTTTATTGTGGTATGTAGTTTCTTTGTATAAATTAAACTTACGTTATTTATTGTCCATTTCATTTGTGTATTTGTTTTAAACTTTTTGTCAGTAAGTCAGTGAGAGTTGTGTTATAAAAAAATAAACAAATAGTTTATTATGTGTATATCTTGAACTCTTGCTTTTAATAAAATATTTTTTAAAACTTTATCAATTCGGATAAACATAATTATCTTCTGTTTATGTAGTTAGATACTAGGAATATCTGTTCTAATCTTAAATAATTGGAAAACATTATAAAGTAAGTTTAATTTTACTGGTGGAATGTACGAAATTGAGGAATGCATAAAATTTTAAATTATTAATAAACCTAAATCGATAAACTAATGTCTTCAATATCAAGTGATCTTATTAATCATAATAAATATTAATATTATGGATGTTACACGATTCAGAATATTTATAAGAATTTAACATAAATAACTCATTTTCCAAAGAAAATGTTCTAGGAAGACGAGAACAACGCTTTTTGTTAATAATAATATTAATTACTCATCATGCACGCTAATTGGATTGCGTCTTGTTACTCCAATCCAACGTAATTATTGTTTATTGGCGTTTTTCGTGACATTAACATAACGTAATATTTTTTATTAATGATATTTTTACACATTTTCAGTGCGAAAATTACGTAATAATTTTAACGTACCTACATAATAATTGGGCATAAATTATAACCGGGAGTCCGAAACTTGAATGGTAACAAGAATGTTAATGTCAAAAACATTGCTTTCTAATGAGTTAAAATTATGACTATCGGCAGAATTTGTCTGGAATAAAAATCGATGACTACATAAATGTTTTGAATTTCTGAGTTATGTATGTTGATGTTATTGTTGGCTGCTAGAAAACTAAAACTAACATTCATGAGTCTATGACTGTAAAAAATGACGTGTGACGTGTATGTATAATGCATAGCGTTAATATTAATTTAGAGTTCACAGTCACAACCGCATCAAGCATTAAGGGTCTGTATGTGAACCACCTAGTTTCATCATATTTATAATCATAATTGAACATCTATGTGTCACATACGAGTACCTACATGGCTCGGTTTATGACAAAAAAAAATAGGAAAATAAGCAAACGTAAACCTTTTTTGAAGAAAAGAGCTAGCTGGAATAGTAGGAGAGAGCACGGTCCCAAGGATCTCCAGCGTTTTAGTTAAAAAAAAATCAATTAAAATCTGATAGATATTTATTCAGGACACCGATGCTCGTTGATGTTGTCAGTAAATGTGTAACTATGTACTCGTACTTACTAACTACCTCGGATAGTGTGGAATGCCAAAAATATTCTCAGTTATACCGTAGAATGTTATCCCCTCTGTCGCCGGAGTAGTAGTATTTTGGTATTAGAATCTCGCGGGGACAGTTTGGATACGATCCAGTCGTGTGCGCAACTCATGAACGCGCTAACGTTATTGATCAAATAACGCGATCGTTTCTAAAGTTTTTTTTATTAAAAAAAAACGTTACTGAGTGAAATAAAACGTAGTGACTTGAAATATAATGACTCTAGTTTAATTTTAGTGATAAAAATTATGTATTTAGTGTAAAAATGTGATTATAACGTACAGTGAAATTTAGTGTTACGTTTAGTGCTAAAGAATGCAGATGAAGACACGAATGATGCTTCTAATAAAGATATAAAAACCGGACAATGACTCACTAACTCAAAGAGCAAACAAACAGTAAAACTGCAACTATTTTGAGATCGCGCGCGCATAAAACGAACCAATAAACAAGATGGCGGGCAACCGGCACGCGACTCCGTTTATAAATCACAAACTGTTTATTTGTGTTGCCGTCTCGCTCTTGCTGCCGATGGCGAATGAGGGCGCGCCGGGATTGGGCGGCGACGCCCGAAGTTTCACGAGCGATGACGGAAAGAGGTTGACACGCGAGTACCATTTGCGGCAGGGTGCTTTGAGAGGGTTAATAGTAAAGCCGAGCCGCCATTATGATTTGCAGCCTGTGGAGATGTTTCTGGGCATACCGTATGCTGCTCCTCCTACAGGCCATTTGAGATTTATGCCACCAGGTAAGGAAACTAGAAGTCTATAAAGTTGGTAAACAAAAAATAAACTCGTTAACCCTTTGTGTTACGAATGGGTTATTCAAAATAGTCTAGCAGTGGTGGGATTTGAACCAGTACCTTATTATTATTATTACTCTATTAGGTACCTAAGCAATATTAAGAAAAATATCAATTTTGTTTCGAATAATCATTCAGAATAAGTCCTTTGAACTGTTCTGAGGTCTGAATATTTTTCATATAGATAAAAAAAATACTGTTTTAATTTCTAAGGTACCTATGTCATAAAAATGATAACATTATGTTTACACTGATGAAAACTCTACACTCATCTTGAGTTGACTTTCATCCCGGAAATGTTTATATTTCCCATGAGATGTCCCATAGTGATATTGTGACAAGCGAATTCCGAGGGGAAACGCGGGTAAAACTAGTAGTTTATTCAATATCAAAAGCTTTCAGTCAAACGAGAGGAGAATGGGGTAGTCAGTCAGGTTTCTAAATGTATCACCGTGTATCTGTAATGTATGTGCCTGAAAAGCGCCGGCACGACTGCTGTAAAAGGTTCACAGCGATTCCTGAAATACCTGAAAGCTTTGAAAACTTTGACCGCACTGTGAAGTCTAAAGGCATTCTGTTGGGCTGATCCTGAAATGCTTACTATCTATGTAACAAAAAAAAACTCCTATTTTCACTGAATGGAATCTGTTGAAACTACACGTTTAGTAGCCTTTTGGAGCAATATCCAATGTTTTTACTAAACTATACCACGATTGTGGAACTGGTTGTCTGTGTGTGAAGTGTTTGAGTTTAAAATTATCTATTGAATTAATTTTAGCAGAGTTACTACATACATAATATTATTATGTAGTTGGTTGTAAACCCTACCGATGTTCTTGGTATCAGACTCTATAGTATAAGCGCCATATTTTTATGTTCCGAGAATAACATTCAATACACGATACCTATTGTTTTTTTTCCCATGGACATTGAACGGGTTAAATATTAACAGCATAATAAGCTAGACCATTAAATAACCAGCGAATTATAATTTATTATTCCGTGTATCGCTTATTTTAACTTAATGTCAATGGCAGCGCGTGATACTTTTGAGCGTCCAATATGTAACCAATTATGTACTTTAATAACGCTTCATTATATTTTTAAATTGGGACAATTTATCACTCTAATTACATTATATAACAACTTCTTAATTACTGGAGTTTTTTAATAATTTTACATGAAGTAGATATAAAATTATATCATAATTGTTTACATTATGTAACGGGTTGAAGGAAGAAAGAATTAACATAGAAATGAAAAGTAAACTAAGGGGTATTCCCACTGAATAATATTGAAATTGTTGAGCCAACCGTTTTTGTCAACTACTGTTTAGCATAAAACTGTATAATGTCTTATGAAATGAATTTTATCCGACTGCAAATGAAAATGAACGGTGCCTTTTTGAGCGGTCTCTTCTTGAAATTTTCACTTTCACTTGCCTTATAGTATTCTTGTGAGATTCATATTATACTCGTATGCTTAGATATCTGTTGTTATCATATTAAAGATTATTTTTTTACTCCTTATCCTGGTTAGCGAATAAGTTACTTACTTATCTTTAAGTTTTAACAAAATTGACACTGAACAAACATTATAATCACTTTACTAATCATGGGTCAAAAGTTATCGCATTCTAAATTTTATTGTCATTTGGTAGCGAGTTATGATACAGATAATTCGCAATAAGCTGGCCTGTGTAATGATAAATGCAAGGACAATTAATTTTGTGAATGAAATAATATTAAAATTGATAACCAAATATGTATTGCAAAATCAGAACTTGTTTCCTGGTCCTAACTCTATACTGTCTTTTAATTTTTTTGAGGCCATTGAAGTATTTTAAACAAAGTAATTTTCATTAGAAACTTGATAGGTAATACAGAAAGACGTACCTATATGAAGTACAAAAAAATTGAGTAGCCTAGTCCTAGTCCTAGTCCAGGATAGATGCCCCACTTTTTGAAACAGCTCTGTAACTCAGTCAGTAAGTTTTTATCAACAATTTGATCTTAGTATCTGTAAACTTTGGTCTTTCGTCTATGATATTACTATAATTATTTTAGTTTAAGTTATACCGATTCTGAGTAAATAGCATTTTAATTGACCTCTAAAAAGTGGGATAGATGCCTAATGTGGGGGATAGAAGACTCACTGTATGATTGCTTCAAAGGATAGATGCCTGATGCAGGGATAGATGACTCGTTAATACAGTTTTTGAATTCTAAGGATCAAATGCTTTTTGAAATCAAACAAGCCAAGTATTATTATTTAAGATTGTTTGTTATGAAATGAATTAAATACCAAATTTAATATTTTTTATTAATTATCCTGTTTTCGCCTCCGAGATTTATTTTACCGTGTAGTACCCCTGTACGACAAGCCAATCCGCACACAATATTCAGCGTAGTAGTAGTAAAAAACAAAAGAGCGGGCAACCCCACCCCTACCACGCTGTGGGCTCGGTGTCCGAGCGGTCTCATTCCTTTGTGCGCACGCGCAACGACCGCACGCAGTATAAGAAAAATACTTAAGTGACGTCACCAGGACGTTTTTACCGACAAAAAACGTAATTATTTTAAGTTGTACAGTGAAGTGACGAGAATTAGACCCAACACAAGGTTGGTTGTAACAACGATTTTGTGCAAGTGCTCGTACATTTTTATTATAAGCGTTGTGACACGACGCGTGACTTTGACCCATTTTAGCTCCGAGTTAACACGCGATGTTAACCAGTAGCCATTTTTTTGCTCCGAGGTAATGCGAGATGTTACCCAGTAGCCATTCTTTTGCTCCGAGGTAATGCGAGATGTTACCCAGTAGCCATTTTTTGCTCTAGCGAGTTAATACGAGATATTAACCAGCAACCACTTTTTTAATCGGTCATTTTTGCGGGTCATTAAGTAATTAACCAGCAGCCACTTTATGTTCGGTTATTTTTTAACCAGTAGCCGTTTTTGCTCTTGCGAGTTAAAACGAGATATTAATCACCGAGATGATCAAACGAACTTACCAAGTGAAGTTCGATCTGAATTATCCTGTTTTCGCCGAAGAGATTTAAGGTCCCTCCCAACCCGAAGATTTCTATATCTTCTTCCCTAGAGGTAAACGTCAATGTCATCTCTTCTCTAAATATAATGAGACCGCTCGGACACCGAGCCCACAGCGTGGTAGGGGTGGGGTTGCCCGCTCTTTTGTTTTTTACTACTACTACGCTGAATATTGTGTGCGGATTGGCTTGTCGTACAGGGGTACTACACGGTAAAATAAATCTCTTCGGCGAAAACAGGATAATTCAGATCGAACTTCACTTGGAAAGTTCGTTTGATCATATAAAAATAGTACATAGTATATCCACCCGAAGTCGGGAAAAGAGGTAATTTGATCAGAAGGGCACCCTATTTATTACTTTCCTAAGGTTAGCCGTTACATTCTTTTTTTCTACTTACTTGCTACTTGTGACAAAAAGAGCAGGTTAGGATAGATGCCCCTAGGAGCATGGGACATAGCCCTAAGGGCATCTATACCAAAAAAAAATTAGGCAACTATCCTTTTAGCATAGGATAGGTGCCTTTTTTAAATAAAAATATAATAACACTAAAAATCGAATTAAACATAGCTATCCCGTACTAATTTATAAGATAGTCTATCAAATTATATAAAAGTCTGCTTCATTTTACAGCTGACAAAAAAGTTATCCATTAAAAGATACTTACCAATTTTATTTCGACGCTCGCTAAGGTTTGGCCGCGGAAGATTTTTGCTCTCACTGGCTAAACGAACGCACTCTTTGATGGTTTGCGAGGCGAAAAGTAGTACGGGGAGGTCCCTTTCTATTATACATACTATAACTTTATGCTAAGTTGCTTGTAACATAGTGTACTTAAAATCGCGGCGCCTATCCCACTGGGGCATGTATCCTGGAATTACCCTATTTGTACTTTCGTTCGTTTCAGTCGAATGACGTCCATTGCTGGACAAAGCCCTCCTACAAGGATATCCACAAAGAGAGGTCGTGCGCCGCCCGCATCTAGGCACCTCCAGCAACCTTCACCAGATCGTCGGTCCACCTAGTGGGGACTCGTACTTTAAGAGATTTGTAATATAAAAGTGGACCGACTATCTGGTAAAGGTCGCGGGAAGAGCCTGGATGCGGGCAGCGCAGGACCGTGCATTGTGGAAAACCTTGGAAGAGGCCTTTGTCCAGCAGTGGACGTCATTTGGCTGAACGAATATAAAAGTATCAATGATCGTGGATGATACACTTACGAGTACACTTAAATCTTTGATCTCTATTATAGCTATTCTCACAAACGTATTCAGTCAACCCAAATAATTTATTTGTTGCTCATTGATCCATCTAATGTAAAGGATTCGGATGAAATCCGAATTGAGGAAATGGCTTATGCCCAAAAAATCATAATTTGAGAAGTCCTAAGCCTAAGTAGGTAGGTACTGATTATAAGCTTTGACTTTGACTTTGACTATGAAATATCATACAACATGATGATTTGTGTAACCTTATTGATGTTCTACTCTGAGGTTCCGCTTTACTTTAATTATCTTACGTACCATTTTTTTAAGAATACTTAATGCACAATAAACACTATTATTATTATAAAAAAAAAATATTATGTGTTAATTCGTTACTCGCTACGATCGGTCAAAAGAGAGATGCAGGTTATGGCGCGAGAGAGCTGATCTCCCCTGCCCTTTTGTCCCTATGTCTGAGAGTCCTCCACCTGGACATGAGCTCCCCTGGCTTACCTGGAAGTCTTTAAATAGACTTCGGACGCAGGTTGGCCGTAGTAAGGACAATCTGGTCAGGTGGGGATTCTTGGACGGCTTAAACATGGTGGAGTGCAGGTGTGTTTTTCTTCCCCAGTCGATGAAGCACCTGATGTCGTGCCCTGAGTGTCCAAGCAACTGCACTCAGGAGGATTTGATGAGTGCTACTGACAACGCCACTCTTGTAGCGGAGTTTTGGGCTGTGTAGGTTTGTTGTCGACACGAAAAGAAGAAGATTCGTTACTAATAAACTTGTCGCAATAACCCAGCGGACACGGGGTTCGAACGTTAGAACTACCGACCCTCACCGTTAGGCCGATAGTGACAACGTTGGGCTGTTGGCGCCTCTTTAGCAACACAATAGATTTTTACATACGTTTTAGCTCATACCTAATTTCCCCTTTTTCAGTGAACGCACCCCCTTGGCCAGGGGTGAAGATGGCGACGCACTTCGAGCCCGTCTGCCCACAGGCTCTCCCCTCCATAAAAAAGGGGGACCCACCGACGTGGGAGCGGCAGCACTACATGACAAAGCTGAAGGCATTCCTCAAGAACGAGTCAGAGGATTGCTTGTATTTGAACATCTACGTGCCTTATAGAGGTAAGACTATAAATACACAGCAGTAAAATACCTCATGTATTAATTTATGAAGAATCATAAATACCATCATCATCATCTCAGCCATAGGACGTCCACTGCTGAACATAGGCCTCCCCCAATGCTTTCCATGTTGCCCGGTTGGTAGCGGCCTGCGTAATCATAATAATATAGGTGCGCCAATAGTTTTTGCTAGTGAAAATGAAATGTTTTATTCAGCGACACAAAACAAAATCAAGAAAATGAAACGAAACTAAATCTAAATAAAATATACAGTAGGTAGGTACACGATTTCTTGAATACCGTTCGTAAAAACGCGTGGGTGGCAGAAGAGTATGCATCGCTTCATGCAATTTTAGTCACGATTGGAGCGCTTCACGGGACAACGGCGTGATTTTTTTTACAAAAGTAACGATTCTTCTGTGACCATACGACAAAGTATTTAATAAAATAACCAATACGTTTCACCTTTCTTGTCAGACTACAGACAAGATGTCCGTCCAAATCTTGAACAATCGCTGTTAATAAATTAATTATCCATTAAACACAGTAAAGTTTTACTAATTAATTGCTGAAAAGTCCCAATAATACTCTCATTAAAAGCAAAATAACATTACAAATTAACCGTGCAATATTTTTTTCATTATCACAAAATGATTCGCCGCTGATTGGTATCTTTCAGCCGGGATCAAATGGACGAAACCGGATTATTTTTGAAACAGTAAGCGCCGCTGGAACCCAATTTTCTGTGTAAATATACGTCAATCACTCACCGTTTGCGATGAGCCGAAAACTCTTAAAATAAACGAAAAAACTCGTTTAAAACCCATAAAAAATATACAAGGGAAAACGCGAAATAACACGGCAAAACTGAATATTAAAAGGAATGCTCATATTTGGTTTGATTGAAATCCACGTTTGACGGACGAGTCTTCCAGTGACTGGCCCACTTTTTACTTGTTTTGAATAGTTTTTCTTCCTTACTTCTACTTTAAACATTCTAGAGTAGATTTTTTTTGTTGATTTGCTGTTTAATTTTGATAAAAACATTGAACAACGTAGGTCAAGTCACTGAAGACTCTTTTATTTTGTTCGAACTGTTTTTCTTATATCATATTCTTAATTGTATCTAATTAATAATCGTGCATTAATTACACATTTATTGCAATCGAAACTATTGACGGTTTGACGGGTACATAATTATTTGTTTTAAAATGTTTACATTAGATTCACTTCTTAAAGACATGATTTGTTTTTATTTTAATTTTTTTTTAATCGAAAAGAAAATCTGACATTTTGTGTTGCTTTTACTTATTATTTTACTTACGTAAACACTGTTTGCTACACACATAACACATGATTAATGAATTAAAATTATTTACGAAACAAGTAAATTGTAAATAAATCACTGGATCCTGAAATGGACTGAAATTTTTGAATGAACGAAAGTATAAAAACGACGGACCTATAATGATGCCCTTATAACTAGGTTATTTGGCGACTGATAATGGAGTCGGTACTTAGCTAAAAGAAATCGGTTTCACCCCTTTTGTATGTGCACAGCTGCATTTAATATTTTAGAGACGACAAAAGTAGGTGAGGAGCCTAGAATAAAATGGTTCTATAGCTACTTTTGGGCACCATACGTCCACAGTAAATTGGGATATTTCATCCGCCGCCGACGTATAGGTACGTCAGAAGTCACGCTCTCAAGAATAAGCGGTAACCATAAAATACAAGAAACCAATTTCAATTCCGTACCAAGAAACAGTTAACAACATCTGTGACGATCTCGTTTTGTTAACCTATTATCGTGCATTCCGTTCCAACTATTTATAACAAAAATCTCTAAACTCACTAGCTCGTACTACAATCGAGTTACGGTTGAATTTCCCCTGTTCTTTTACTCGTACGCGTAAACTAAATAGAAACGTACTATTTATAAATGGTTAAGAATTTGGACTCTCAAATGGGACGGAAGTTCTTATAATAGACACGCGATGGCGCCAGTAGTATACTAATTATGTTACTTGGACACTTTATACTCTTTGATGTTTGACATCATCACGTTTTACAGTTAATCATTTTAGTTGGCAAGCGAAATAAATTAGGAGTAATGTTATACTTATTTCCCAATTTAGTAATAATTATTACCTAATGTGCATTTTGTGACAATGTTACTAAGCATATTTTTGTACTACAGTCTCAAACTAGTTAGTGCTTTACAATGTGTTTGTTTCAAAAATTTTTGAACTTTTCTGCAATATAGCTTATTTCCATGTAATGTCTGCGAAGAAAACTATCACTTAAAAAATTATAACTAGTTAAAAGATCAGGTGGTCTCCTAATTATGAAGCAATTTCTTTAATACAACACTTTACACCCGTACTTATTCAAACATTATAGAACTCTCACAGTTCGCGTGGCCGCACAGGGTCCCAAAAACCTTTTCATGGACAATACTTGAGTGGCGTAGTGACACACAAGAACCAATTACAGTGTGCCTACCATGAGTTTACGTTAGGAGTGCTCGCTAGCGACTGCGTAAAAAAATGACATTTAAATGTATGACATATTGTGCAGCGCCCCTAGTGGCTACTTTCAAGAAATAAAATCTTCATAGAATTTTTTGACGTATTCGCTAGCGAGCTCACCTAACGTAAACTCATGGTAGGCACACAGAGCTCTATTCAACGCTTCAACTTCGCATAGCGTTGTTGCTTCACTTAAGCAAGCATCGTTTGTGAATATGGGTGAAAAATTAAAGAAAAAAGAAATTAATTACTAATATTATGGAAGAAAAACGAAGATCATTAAAATTGTAAAGTGAAATTTTCACAAAACTTCACCATCGTCTAAATCTAAACTTTCCTTGTTATCTAATCATACCTAATTAAAATATTTACCCAAAAAACACTGAAAGAAATGCAAATTTAACAAAATTCTTGGTTAAAATTAATGTAAGGAAAACATTTAATTTTTTCCTCTATTGCTATTTTTGGCTTCTTCCGACGGAACCACAAATTGGGGGAAAAGCGGATATCGCAAAATGGGTCTTGTAGTGAAATAACTAATAATACAATTTAGCTGCAAATATAAATAATTATAGAATTAAATTATGTGTATACGAAACTGTTATGAAAATCCATAATTTTAACAACTATAGACTACGCTTTTCCAAACATCTGGAACCAACTTTCATGATTTTTAGTTGATAAATGAGTTTTAAAATAAAAAGGTATATTATGTTACTTTATTATGGTTAATAAAAATGTTATAAGGGGTGAAAGTTTGTGTCGGGAAAATTGTTTTGTAATTTCTCAAGTGGGCATGATATGAAAACGTTATGTTAATTAATTTGGTAATAATTATCTTTTGAAAAACTTTAGTTTTTACACTTAAGTAACAGAATGATCATCAGATAAGTTTGTTCGCTTCCCTGGCACATACATATTTACAATAACGCCTTTAGTAATTTAAAACCATTGAATTATTCTTATAAACATTACCATGTTCCAGGCGGATTCCTCCGAGCCATTATCTCAAACTGTCTAAAAACCGTAACAATCTAAGCCCCTCAAACTATCCGAAAAGTTACCCAAAATACCGAAACAATAAGCATTTCGACGACGAAATGACAACACCACCGCCCCCTATCGTCTGTAACTGACTCCAAAGCTCCTGTGTAATACACGGTTCAACGAAAATCAAGTGAAATTTTCAAGTAATTTCCCCACAAACAAAGCTTGGAACAAAGAAGTCGAAGTAAACAATGGGAGTAGACGGGCAATGCAAGGGTTTGGACGCTATTGTTCCAGTTTTTAGGGGTCCCTGGGCGAATTGTAATTGAATTTTGCGAGTCTGTATGGACTGCTGATATTGGTACTTATGAAAGGAATGCACTTGAATTTAGCATAACCCACACAGTAAAATCGGATCACTGGATTGCAGCTCCACATTAGAAAATTCTACTCTTTTCGCAAAATGACAAATATACGGGACTATTCCCACCTCTTGTTCCCACTACTGCAACTCCTGTGTAGCCAGGATCTACAGCTTGACCGCCATAAAAACCCAACCAATGAAGGCCAAGTTTGTCCCGGGGGAAAGTTAAACTGTCATTGGACCCGCAATGAAATTTATCACAAGAACATAGGAGGAGTTCGAAATGACGAATGTGTATAATAACTATAAGTTTTGAAAATCATATTTAGCAATGTTTTACATAATACGTGGCAAGCTGATGTATCTTATTGTTGTCGTGTCCACAACAAACCTACACAGCGTCAGCCCAAAACTCCGCCACAAGAATGTATGATAAGCTGAGGTGGAATTGTGTAAAGCAATCCTTATTATTTGACAGTTCATAATGTATGATTATTCTGTCAAACGCTTTGTTTATCTGACTTTATCGTACGTTATGAACTGTCAAATGATTACGATTGCTTTACACAATTCCACCTCTGATGTATAAATACCTGAGTATTTCAATACTCATTATTGTTATAAAACAATTTACAATGTGGTTTTATCCTAAAATGGAATACAAGGGGCCCCACGGTCAGTGTTCGTCTTAAAGGTTAAGTATGATTACCAGTTGGTACCAACCATGGTTTAAGGAGTATTTTTATCTCAACCTACCTAGTCTACAATACCTACTCGGTAAAAGCCTATGTATGCGACTGTGAAATGGGTCAACATATTTTATGTTAGTACCTCTAAATCACTGAACCCCATAACCTAACCTGGAAGTACGCTTTACACCTTTTTGAGTTTTATTGTCCGGAACATTCTTTAATTACCTAACGAAACGTGAAGTTGGAGTTTAACTGACTTCAAATAAAAGGGGTGCTTGACGTTGCGTTCCATTCATGGGGTTAAATAAAACTAGAGTTTAATCCATTTAGCTGGCATAAGTGGTCTTACCCTTGAGGTACTAGAGTTAAAATGTAGCAGTAATAACTAAACTTGACGAATGAAATTTCAGTTTTTCTAACGTACTTTAATTATCTGGATTTTGGTTGAATATCAAAATTTACATAATTTAAATCTAAAGAAACTTTTGCAAGAACTCGTGGTATGCTTGTTTCAAAGAAAGCAAACAAAATTAGTCACATTTTTAATTTTCACTTTGTACATTTTTTGATAAACTAATTAAAATACTTTATAAATACCAACTAGCTTAATAAAGGTTGATTTGGCTAATACTGTAGCCAAATTGATGATTATTCATTCTTCAATGTCATCAATCGTTGTATTTTTATTTTTATTCATATTTACCCAGTTAAGTGTTTCAATTTAGTTTTGTTTTCTCGATTGCTATTGACACTGTTACTTATTATTATTATTATAACTGTAATTGGCATTATAACAAGTACCAATCTCAATAATTTCACGAGTCTGAGGTGGAACACTAAGTACCTATTGCACTATGATATTATGGCATAATGTTTTTATCTTAAGTGCAATTATAAACAATGATAATTTATTATGGAACTAGCGACCCGGCGACTTTGTTCTAAAATATGTAGTGATATAATAAGCAACATTGTAGGTAAAATAATCTTAAACTTCTGGAACTGTATTTCTTACTTGCGGTATTTCATGTAATTACTCTCCTTTTTCTTTCAAAGATTTCTTTCCCCAATTTCGTCATGTCAAGAATATCTCGCAAGCTTTTCATCAAGAAAAACCTGAGATCCCTTTTCTTACATATTTCAAATTAAAGCTCCGTCATCCAGCCCACACGAGCCCGCAACTACCTCATTAATATACCTAAACAAAAGCTTAATGGCGGCACGTCAAAGAAAGCTCGATTCGAGCGGAGCCGTCGCCGGAGACTCATTTCCGTTTGCGTTATTCATGGAATAGGCTTTTTCTGAGCTTTTTATATGAGTGTGTGGTATAGATACGTAATACACTCAATGCGGAGAAATAGAAATACTGGTTTGGTTTTGTTTCATTTTCTAATGTAGGTATTTTTTTCTTCTTTTATCTGATGATTGAAAAATCAGTCCAAAAAGCCTGTTCAAATAAATTTGTATGTACCTACTCAGATAAAACGTGTAGCAAATTGACAAGGCTTTTTAATTTTAGTTACAAATATTTAAATTTTACCACTTATTAGATAATTGTCTTCCACTCAAGGAAGCAACAATAATTTTCTTGGTTCATAAATTCAGATCAGAACAAGTCTCCAAATCCTACAAATAACGCCATCTATACTCGAAGTAACGAAACTCTTACTGAAAAGGTTTCCACTGCGCTGAAAAGCAAGAGACGGGTAATCTGGGTTGCTTTTTCAGGACACGACCCTCTCCTACAAATAGTTTACGGCGAAATACTCTAGATGTCGCTATAAGTTCTGAAATTTCGTATTTGAAGCATTTTAATTATTTTTGTACCTGAAGGATCCTAAAAGTATTTTTTATTGTAGTGTTTCTTCTGTATTCTGAGATCGTAGTTTGATTTATTCTGTTGCTAGTTCCTGTTATTATTTTATACCTACAAGCTATTATTTAGGTTTTTTTAAATTGTAAGGTACTTGATACAAATAAGGCCTACGTTCTAATAAGGCCTACACATCAGAAAACACAGATAAATAAATCCAACCGGGATAATACTTCAAGGACACGTACCTACTCATATGCCTTACAACCCGGTAGAGTACAAGAGCGTCCCGATCCACGATCCCAGCACCAATTGGCACGCGTTCTTCTAAGGTGGTGGGTGATTTCGTGCTCTCTTATAAAAATCTGGCGATTTCATCTTAAATTTTCGGTAAAATGACGCTGTTTTAGATTAAGCTTTTCTTAGTAATCGTTTCTAAATATTTCTTACTAGCTAATAATTACCTTAATTTTTACTACTGGCTATAGATGCATTATTTGTAATTTCTTAAAGACAACAAGAGCAAGATATCTAATAAGGCCTAGGCCTTATTTCAGCATAGTAGGCCATATTAGATACTTATGTTAACACCTGATTATGGACAAATTCATTAAACTAAATGAGTCAAAGAGTAACTAAATATTTATTTAATAAGAATGTTACTAACAGTACAGAAAATAAAAATAAAACAGAGTCGAAAAAATTTACAAAACCTGTAAAAAAAAGGAAACAAAATACAAAAACAATCAAAAATAAGAAAAAAAAGTCGTATGTATAATTCTAAAGGAAGGAAGGAGAATAAAAGCTGGTATTATCATGCCTGTCTCGAAGACAATGTAGCAGATATGCGATCATAAAGGACTGTTTTTGGTGGTATCACAAAGATTGTGTAGGAGTTCGTAAAGATGATTCAGAAGCCTTTTTATGCCCTGGTTCTAACAAAAATTGAGATCTCATTTTGTTTACAAAAAATCAAGACTAAATGATGTTCCTGAACTGATTTATTTAAAAGGTTTTATGTGTAGGCCTTATTCGAACACGGTGTTTTAATAAGCCCTATACACAAAAATAATATTGATTGTTTTTGATATTTTTTTTGATCATTTAAGTAAGGAATCATTACTTTGTTACTATGAATATTTAATTTTATCTATAATTTATGTATTATTCTTAATAAATGGAATTTAAGTTTATCTAGAGATATACAGTATATTTCTGTTTACTTGGTATGAAAAATTTTGATAACGCAAACAAATCGACGTGTTTAATGTTATAAGACCGCATTTTGTTTAATACAACCTCAATTTTGAGGTCTAGAGGCATTTGAATCTTATAGGCCTTATTCCGTGTAGGTGATTTATTAAAGCCAAAATCAGTGGTTTCGTAATTTGCTTAATTTGAGTAGATTTAGTTAAAAATTTTGTTATTTTTTGTAATATTGCTAAAATTAAAGGATGGAAGAAGTTAATTAACCTTGTTTTTGTTGACTGGCGTTAATATTTATTGAAATATAAGCATTTAAAGTTAGGTAGGCCTTATTTGTATCAAGTACCTTATTTTACCTTAAATTAATGAACATAAACTCAATGTTGTTTTAGTAAACATACTGTTATGTTTAATGTTTTTATTTATTTACTTTAAACACAAATGAGTTCGCAATTGATTCCGAATTTAAGTCGCACCTTCATTTACTGTTATTTTGATTTCAACTATTTTGGAACGGAAACAATAAATCATTACATTTTATTTCATAAAATACTAATATTATGTATTTACTAAAATTAAATTACTGTTGAACGGCGTAAATGAAATACATAACATAAAAAATTAAAAACTTTTCTTTTAACGACAAAATACATAAAGAATTGCTATAGGTATCTATCTACCTAAGAGACAAGCGCCATTATTCACAAACGTTACTATGAGGTCTCACAGTGCGCGTGGTCGCACAGGGTGAATTACACGAACCAATCACAGAGCTCTATTCAACGCTGTGCGTTCGATTTGCTGATTCACTTAAGCAAGCATCGTTTGTGAATACGGGCGAAGATTGATTGAGGCTGTAGCCCTTCGTAATAGTCCTTGTGAGCGATTAGACTAACTCAAAGGTTTCTACCAATTCTGTACACAACCCAAATTGGACCTTCTTCTTTTGAAATAAAGTTTAAATTTATCTGGCGGCAATGAGCTTAATTTTTTGCTAGCAGCGGATGGAGATTATCAAATAAATAAAGATTAGTATTTCAGCGAATATTGCTTTGGAAAGAGAGAGAACTAAGAACTTGAAACAAACAGTTGAATAACAGTCAATTAGTTGTGATTAATTGTCGGATTGTTTGTAATTGTTATGAAAGAACGGCAAAGTCATTCAGTAAAGTATTCAATAAATGTTTCTCAATATGTCAAGTTATTAATCGTAATATTGAAGATCAAGCCTTCATTAAAATCTGTGTACCCATTTTATTTAATTAAACCTTTGTATTAAGTTTTATATTTGATTCAATCAGATTTTAAAGCGGACTAAAAAGAGATTAAACTAAAAAATTGACATTGACAAGGTGTAGGCAGTAATTTTAGTAATTTCTTACGAATAGTACAATACCTACATGTAAAAATGTACGACGTACACTATGACTTTCATAGAGCGGCTTGTTGTTCTATTAGAAGTAGTTGCTCCATTCTAAACTCACCTTAAAAATTTTAACCGACTTAAAAACAGGGGTTTCTCAATTAACAAAATCTTTTTGTTTCAGATCAAAAGTCCAAGAAGTTTCCAGTCCTGGTGTTCATCCACGGAGACTCCTTCGAGTGGAGCTCAGGGAACCCGTACGATGGGAAGATTCTAGCATCCTACGGGAACATCATGGTCATCACCCTCAACTTCAGATTGGGGATATTGGGTAATTATTTTTGAATTAAAAAAACCTTTTATTCTGATGTTAATATGTACCTATGTGTGACTGGTAGGGTAAAAAAGATTATGAGACATTTAAAGGCTTCTTAAGAGCAAAATTTATATCGATTTGTAAGTAATATTTAATTAGTCTATAACTCTATACAAATAAATAAATTTTGACTTTGACTTTGACGTTAAAATGATAGCAACCAGTCTGGTCAACCGTGGAGAATGTAGACCAAATTAATACTTCATATGCCTTTGGTAAACTAAAGAGGGTTAAAGCGGAAACTTAATGATGAAAAGTGATGATGAAATGTTGGCATCTTGAAATCACATATTAACAGGTATCGCTCCTTTTAGTGATAAAGTGATATAAATTAATTTTTGTCTGTTTTCTACCAGAAGTTATTATAAAGGTCAGAAGTTCCTAATGATAGATATCAAATAGCTTTTGTAATTATATGGATAAACAAATGTAAGGTGAATAATCAAAACGTTAGATGAGCAGTTTCACAAGAATTTTGCTTGGAATATTTCAAATGCATCAATGAAATTTATGTATTACTAAATTAAATCAGCTGAAGCTATTTGATACTCTATAAAACATAATTAAAGTCAGTAATAGAATACCAAGTTTCCTTATTGCACAGGAACTCATTTTGTTGACGAAACACGTTTTTACGGTCCGGTAACTTCCTTCAATGATACCCATCCGGGTTTTTAGTCTTTAAAAGTAGAAAGAAAAATCTGGAAGGCTATAAGTTTCCCTGAATAGGACAATTACGACGGAAAAGATCTGGAATTGCTGTCGCGGTTTAGACGTTCTTACTTTTTTCTCGTAAAATGATAAAATGGATTTGGTTGGTGCTTTTAAAAAGGTTGAAAAACGACGTAATTGGTCCTTGATTTGAGTAAATATTATCTTTTGAACAGGCAGAATTTACTAAATATCTTAATCGTTTGATTAGGAAAGATAACTAAATTAAAGCTAAGTAAAAATAAGTAATGTTTGCTGTTTGTTTACAGTTAACAATTAATTAATGCCGAGGTTATGACAATAACTAGAAAGCCAGCGTCCCCAATAAAGGTCATACCTACATTTTTCATATCGTTATTATTCAAATTTCGACATGACGTTTAATTACGAGCAGATGCAACCCAGTTTTTACACAATTAGGTACAGTTTTCTCGTTCTTTTGCGGTTTATAGACCAAGAAATAGCTGACGTAGTTTCCCATAGTGTTTGTATACGAGTAGATTGCAGTATGTACAGTTTAGAAAACCTTGTCAGTTATGCGAACTCTTGGTTTACAATCCACTAGCTCAAAGTACTAATATTGATCTTAAACCACCAGGTTTCTTGAAGCCAAGTCTGACAGAACATTTCGACGGTAACAACGGTCTGTTAGACCAGCTGGCGGCGCTGCAGTGGATCAAGGACAACATCGAGGACCTGAACGGAGACCCCAACTCTGTCACGTTGATGGGGCACGGCACTGGTGCGGCGTGTGTCAGTTATTTGATGCTGTCTCCTATATCTAATGGTGAGTGGAATTTTAAATGGATTCAAATTAATATCATACATGCGAACCTAAGGTTATCTGACTTTAACGCCTTACGCCTAAGCAAGTAAACATCCAAACTAATAGTAAGTCTTTAACTTTTTTAAGCTTAAGCCACTAAATAAATAAGTTTGAGACCTAAACCCTTTTTAAAACGGAAAAATGCGCGTGATAAAGTATTTTTGTGACAGTTCAAATTCGAGGCCGAGTTCGGAGCGAGGCCGTGGATAAAAACCTGTATTTTATTTGAAGTTTGATAAAAAAATTATTAGGATTAAAGAGAAGAATATTCTAGTGTTAATAAAATTGTCCTTATAATAAATCTCAAAAAGATTCGGATACAGGATAAAAGTTTCTATGCGAAAATTCATTCCAGGTTTAGGTTTAGTATGAATTTTATTACATTCAAAGCTTTGAAAATTACGTTATTATTAATTGTTAATTAATTTCACCATTGGTGGTTTTTACATCGTACCTATCTGTTAAAAATAACGACCGCCTGCTCTTGAGTCCTCTCACACACAGTTTGAGGATCGTGACCCTGAATAAAGTAACCTCAGACGAGTCCTCGAATGTCCTACAGTTTGTTCACCAGCAAAATTAGGATTTGAAATTTAAATGTTACCAGAGGCAGCTCTAGCACAAGCTCTACTTTTTTACTCATGATAATCGAGTTAGACAGTGTGACTAATTTGTCCTGTTCATAGTGTTCATGAAACGCACTATCACTCCGTATAGGATAGAGTAAGTAGAGCTACAAGCTCCACTTTGATGCTCATGATAGCCAGAAAGTGCGACTTTTTAGTCCTGTTCATGAAACGCACTATCACTCCGTATAGGATAGAGTAAGTAGAGCTACAAGCTCCACTTTGATGCTTTATGATAGTCGAGATAGAAAGTGCGACTTTTTTGTCCTGTTCATGAAACGCACTATCAGCTCCTATCAGATAGAGTAAGTAGAGCTTCTACGTTGATGATCATGATATTCGAGTTAAAAAGTGCGACTTTTTAGTCCTGTTCATGAAACGCACTATCGGCCCGTATCGGATAGAATAAGTAGAATCACAAGCTCAACTTTGATGCTCATGATAATCGAGTCAGAAAGTGTGACTTTTTTGTCCTGTTCATGAAATGCACTATCAGCTCCTATCGGATAAAGTAAGTAGAGCTACAAGCTCCACTTTGATGCTCATGATAGTCGAGTTAAAAAGTGCGACTTTTTTGTCCTGTTTATAGTGTTCATGAAACGCACTATCAGCCCGTATAGGATAGAATAGGTAGAGCTACAAGATCCACTTTGATGCTCATGATAATCTAGTTAGAAAGTGCGACTTTTTTGTCCTGTTCATGAAACGCACTATCGGCCAGTATCGGAGAGAGTACTTTTACTCGTCACTCTGTCCAGCCGAAGCTAGAAAAGCTCTCGTAGCTGCGAGCTTTCGTTAAAAAAACGATTGTTTAGTCACGATGTTGCTTTCGTGTGTTGAGCATCGCCTGTTTGCATTTTGTATTTCTAGGCAACGATTTTGCATAGCCGACTTAGTAACAATTTATATCTTTAATTTAAATGTTAAACAAAGCAAAGCAACTACAGTTGAATAGAAACTGGTTTACCAAACTTTAAATCTAATTAATATGAGAAAACACATAATCACAAAGCGTTATTCCACCAAACTAGCTGCTAAAATCACAATAAACTTACGGATAGACAAATATTTAGTAGACAAATTCTACGACTGCTATGTGACAAATATTTCACAAGTTTGCCGGTGAAAAATTATGTAATGGATAGATTACTTCAAGAAGTGGCTAAAGTAACTATTGTCATTCTAGGCAAGGCACATGTATCTACCCTTTTCCTACTAGTGAAACATTTGCAGGTCTCTTCCACCGAGCGATCCTTATGTCCGGTTCAGCTCTGTCCAATTGGGCGATGACCAAAGATCCGACACAGTACACGCTGCAAGTGGCCCAAAACCTTGAAAGCAACCTATCTTCCAAAGAAATGATGACGTCATGTCTGCAGAAGAAATCCCACCCCACTGTAGCTTCCCTTTATCTAAATCTAGAATTAAGAACAAGTACCCCTTTCATACTACTGAAACCTTTGCAGGTCTCTTCCACCGAGCGATCCTTATGTCCGGTTCAGCTCTGTCCGACTGGGCCATGACCAAAGACCCGACCCAGTACACGCTGCAAGTGGCCCAGAGCCTGGACTGCAACCCATCATCCAAGGACATGATGACTTGCCTCCAGAAGAAACCGTGAGTATGTTGATTTTATTAGTACTGGCCTTTACTTGTACTACAGACCTTGAATTATTTTGACTATGATTGAAAAGTTGTCTAGATTTGATTAAATACTTTTATAAAGGTAGCCTTTAAAGTAAGGTAAGGTAGCCCTTCAAACTTTCGAAAACGTTCGAAAGGCTACCTTTAACGATCCGAATGCCGAGCAAGGAACGCGGACGAATGTTTGAGACGAAATGCCGATAGTGATGTCCTGAGTTCACGACTTTTTTCCCGTAAAATGACAATTACAAGTACCTCCTTTAGAAAATAAATACGTTTGTTAATAGTAGATAAATTCTAGTAAGAAAAGAACCATTCATTGTTCAGAATAACAATTACTATATTATAAGACCAACAAAGAACAGTAAAATGTTTGATTTATCAATTTTTAAACAATCCCACAAACATTATGTCACGGTGCGTGTGGACGCACAGGGTCCCAAAAACCTATTCTATTGACAATACTTGAGTGGCGGAGTCACACGCACGAACCAATCACAATATGCTCTCTATTCAACGCTATGCGTTCAACTTCATATAGAGGTGCTACTTCACTTAAGCAAGCATGTGAATACGCATGTAAATCACTTGCAACCTTTACAACAGAAGATAATTAGCGCCTCCTTAAGCCGTGTGACTTCATTTGAAATTACAAAGCACAACGCATTTGTAATTCGCATGAAAATTGGGTTGACTTTGGAAACACTTTTAAATAGGCTTAAGCAAATTCCACGTATGTGACAACTTTGTAATGAGAGTAAATAAATGTAAATTACTTACCTTATTGTGTTCTTGTGTGTATTTTATAAACACATTCGATGAAGAAAGTTTTTAAGGTTGATATTTGCGTTATCTTTCGACTATTAGATGTTATTGTAAATAAAGTACTATTTATTATTATTATTATGTTTACCTATACGCTTTGGAGCTCACGGGTCAAAAGTGGCCCGGTCCTTTATAAGGCTTGCGTGGGGATACAGATCCAACACGTAGAGGCCGAGCGCAAAATAATCGACATAAATAGCTTTTGTGTTTATTATATTGACAATTCAATAAAATCAGTGTAAAATTGTCCAGAGTAGAGAACGGCATTTAATATTGTATAGATTTAGGCTGAATTGTTTTTTGTATGGAGTTTGACAGATTTTTGACGTTTATTAAAGTTAAAATAAGATGGTGAAACCCAGCCTTAAAATAATTCTGTTAATGAATTATTTTAAGGCTGGTTTCAATGCAGTATTTTTCTGTTGATTCAATAGAACATAGCGAAAAAGTCTTGATTTAAAGTTTTTACTTTTTTTAATTATTTTTACGATTTTTTCATTCCGTTACCAGTTTTTTCAATCAAAAGCTTAACTGTCCGTAAGCAATAAAATATCAAGCGCTATTGAATTAACTGCTACATTTACACTCTGCCATTCCCTAAAGCATTTGTCTGGCACAATGCAGGTTCACTCGGCTGCTTATCTCTGTCTGTCTAGATTTTATCGTGTGCTGTCTCCCGTTTCAGGGAAAGACTGGGATTTATTGTTTCCTAGGTTTCATTTCAGGATTGTAAATCTCTCGTGCTACGTTTTTGAAATTAATTTCGGATGATTAAAAATGATTAAAAAGGTTGCACAATAATACTTCTGCATTCTACGTGGTCTTGTGCATTGACTCTCTCGTCTCTCAAAGATTTTGCATTGAATTAAATGTCTTCGAAATAAATATGGTTCCGTGTTTCGTAGGGAATAATAAGCAGTCAGGTGATCTGATTGAGTCATGTTAAACAGCTCATAGAGACGCGGATACCAGAATTCAACCGATCAATAGAAACGATTAGAAATACACTGAAAAAATGTTTCGTTACTGCTTACACAACAAAAGTGACCACCGAACACTTTAGTTATGAGAACCAAAATGTTGTGTAAATTAAACAAATAATTCTGTAGTAAGCTAGACTTAGCTTGGTTATAGTTAACACTTAGTTCGTTGGTCACTTGTTGTGTAAGCAGGTACCTAACCAAACATTTTTTTCAGTGTAGTTACGATTTACCTAATTTCGATTAGATTAGGTAAATCGTAACTTGACGAGAACTTATATTGGTTTAATGAAAACAGATAATACAGTTTAATTGAACTTTGTTCACAGGCTCTCAGAAATAAAGAAGGTGCAAATACTCGCGCGGGAGTTTGAGACTCCATTGGGCCCGACGGTGGCCGGGTCTTTCATCCCAAGCGAGCCTGCCAGAACGATGGAGTCATTCCCCAATTTGCTAAGCAAGTAAGTTTTGTACATAACCGCCTCTATGGTCTGGTAAGACCACGTGCTTCAGACGCAGAGGTCCCGGGTTCGATTCCCAGTAGGGGCAGATTTTTCTGTTCGGTTTGGTTGGTGGTAGGGCTTGTTCTAAGTCCGCCTGGCTAGCTACCACCATCTTACCTAAGTCTGTTGCCATAACACCAATATTAAAAAGCATTGTTGTGTTACTACTTTAGTTAGAGGTAAGATAGCCAGTTCTTCCGTGGTTGAGGATTCCGGAAGAAGCTCGCTTCCACCTTCGGCCTGATCATCACTTACCATCAGGTGAGATACAGGTCAAGAGCTTCCTCGTTGTGGATAAAAAAAAGAATCAGTAGGTCAGTTACTTAACTTTGGGGACTACTAACTACTTACAAAAGTTATAGTGCACCTATATGCTGACAAAAGGGGAGTAGACTCATTGAAATACATATTTAAAAAAGTAAATAAAAGCTTGTAAGAAACAAATAAATGAATGTAGAGCGTCTATCAAACCGGTTATGCGACCATGAAGTATCCTACTTGAGAAGTTAAATGTGTGATTACCAAATAACGTAGAAATTGAAAACCTATTGATAGTGAAAAATAACATCTTGAAGAAAGCTGGGTAATTAATTACTTCTAGTAGGTAGTTTTATTATTATTGTTGATGAACCGTCTAAAGATGAAGCGATTTTTTTTCTCCAGTATCAATTTCTAATAGTATAAATATAGATGGAACATTATTACAATATTAATATTCATTATTCATACAATTTCTAAAGCGCCAATAATGAGGAAAATTTATGTCGGAACAAATATTTTTTGCTCCGTTTACAAATTTATTAATAGATACCATGTTTCTTAGAAATCAAATGGGTATAATAATCATATATTATTATCGAATAAATATTTTTCCATGCTCGTGTAAAAATAGTTTTTTTGGAACAAAAAGCCTGGCCATTTTTTGTTTTAAAATTTAATTGTCTCACTGATCCGAAAAGCATTTCATACTCTACGTCCTGCTCGATGGATCGGCGACTTCAAAAAGATAGCTGGCAGTGGCTGGTTGTTGAATAGCGGAGTCTTCCAGCAACTGAGACCACATTTAGCTTGGACCACGGGCCCAGTCGATGGATTCAATTTTAAATATTTTTTCTTCCGGACTCTGAGCCCATCTTGAACAAAAATCTTAGAGTGGGCCCAGTTGCCGGAAGAAGAAATATTTAAAATTCAAACCGGCGACTTGGCCTGTGGACCAAGCTAAAAGTGGGCCAAGTGACTGGAAGACTCAAAAGGCGAAAGATCCTTTTTGTGGCGTTGCTTGAAAAGCTTAATTCATTACATTTTATGATATTTATTAAATGCTCGCCTATTTCGCGCAGATAATTCGTGATTTTATTCGACAATAATATTTATTACTTTCATGCTCGCGTGATCAGCCGAATATTCGTGATTGATTAAGTGTCCATTACACGGATTTACACGCCTATTGAAGTAAATTGTATTTCATTTGCTGAGTCTATAAATGGCTCTGCTATTATTAGTTTTCCTGTATTATTTTCTTGTATTGTTCTTGCTAATTCATACATCGTTATTAAATCGTAGAAATATATCTGTAGTTGTATACAGTTTTTTAATAGCTTGCTTTGAACACTCATTAAAAAAAAACATTACAAACGAACAAAAAAGACGATTATAAATAATTTCTTATTCTTATTCGTAGCTAAGTCATTTCATTATAATTTGGAAACCCGAAAGATTCGAAAAGAGTATCTAATTTGTATAATTTATTCCGTGTTAAAGTATTCTGGTTAACCTCTAACAACGCTTGTTAGGAGTTCCCCACAATAATTCAGCGAACAACTATAGTCTAGTTACCAACCTCTATAATTGGACTTTATGTTGTGCTATTGTCACCTTATTTAAGAGTAATATTAAGATAATATACAAGGTGGAAGTGATCTCACTCGATTATTTCTAAACTATACAAGATATCAAAATCAGCTTCCATACATTTGGTAAATAAAGCCGTATAATATTAAAAACTAACATGTAGTAGTATGGAAGCTGGAAACATTGCATTTTCAGATAAATCCAGTTTATTCTGTAGTCTATTACTATTAATAGGTACGGTACTATTACCGTTTGAAAAAACTTGTGAAGCACTTTCAGGATCAGTAACCAGTTTTTCGATATCTTGTATAGTTTAGAAATAACCGAGTGAGATCACTTATCGTTTCCACGGTTTCCACCCTGTATACAGACAGCTAAAGTTTCCCTTATTTTATTATTCCTAGATACCAATTGCTAAGCGGAGTGACAGAACTAGAGACGTACCACGACTTCGGAGTATTAGAGCTGGGACAGGGCGTGCTTGACACTCAGAGGGATGAGTTCATCATCAAGTACGCAAAGGTCGTATTGGAGGGGGCAGAGGAAGAAGCATTGAAGGAAGTTTTGAAACAGTAAGTCGTAGTTTTCTTACAGTATTAAACCTGGCAACTTTATGAACTAAATGTTTATGACCATAAATAATAATAGAGACGAAGTATAAATGTTTTAATAAACCTTACAATGCTAATAATAGGGATGTTTCCTGAGTCAAAAGCAAGAGTTTTAATTAGTCCGTCAGTTAACTTATCAAAAAATACTCTACACGTATTTTTCACTTTTTCAAACTAATTAAAATTTAAAGAGATAAAGCGCGCCAGAGTTCATAAGAAGAGGCCCGTGACGTCAATGCTTGCATAAAAGTGCCGCACGTTGTGACGTCGTGCAGAACTTCAACGCACCATAACTATGTAATTATTTGTTAGATTGACAAATAAAAATATATGTGTCCAATATTTTTTGATATTAAACATGACGGACTAAAAAATTTTTTTTAGGAAACTAGCCTATTGTTTGCTTAACTGAAGTGTAGTGATCGACTGACCAGTGAAGGTCAAGTTTGTCCTGAACATTGTAGATACTGGCTACACAAGAGTTGCAACAGTGGGAATAGTCCCGTTGCACGTTATGCTTGTATTCTGTAGTTGTACCTATCAATAAATAAATAAGAATCGTTCGTCCGTTTCAGCCAAATGACGTCCACAGCTGGACAAAGGCCTCCCCCAAGGTTATCCACTATGAACGGTCCTGCGCTGCCCGCATCCAGGTTCTTCCCGCGAAATAAGAATAAATGCCACATTTTTTGAGAGAATTTTACACAAAGCATTATTTCCGAATAAAAGTTTATAGTTCAAAAGGTTTTCATAAAACAATCACAACACGCTTTGATAGCCTGCTGAATTGTTACCGTGTTCGTAAAATATTTTTATTCCGTTTTGATATCAGAACAAACCCTAACTAACAATACAAGCCCGTTGTTCTAAACGTTTGTGAAATAAAGCTATTGTGGTAAAAACATGCTAAACTTGTTTCGTTAAATATGAATACTAAATCGAATAGCTGAACTGGAAAACTAAAAGCTGAAAAATGCCTAGTAAAATTTTAGCTACATCATGGTGGTGTGTGTTGGGCAATTTAAAGCAATTTCTGCAAGAAAACTTTTGTCTCGAATTTGAAAAAATCGAACTGCCTAAGCGCTCCTGCACATGACGGCGCCACCGCGCCGCAGCCGCGCCGTCGCCGCGCCTTTGCACTGTTTATACGCGCCGCGTGAAGCCCGCTGCTGCGCCGCCGCCGCGCCGCTGGCAAAATTATGCTTTGATGGCGCGGTGGCGGGCTTTACTCGGTGCGTATGAACAGTGTAGGGGCGCGGCGACGGCGCGGCGAGGGCGCGGCGGCGGCGCGGTGGCGGCGTCATGTGCAGGAGCGGTAAGACGTGAATCGAATAAGCTAACAAATTTGAATAAGGATCTCCTCATTTCCTTCATAACACCTACATAATTTATAACTTGAACAAGCTTCAGGTTTTAGAAGATTAATCCCAGTACGACTTAACCTAAGAAACATTGGTAACTCTATTGAAATTATTGAAATTCTCAAGTGACTTGTACAATTTGTTCAATTTGCCTTTAACGTTCAGCCAAAAAATTGTTGCGAATATTTGACATTTGAATAAGATGAAACAGTCTATAAGGAATTTTGGTGGGAAGTACGTGAATGCGTGCAACGCAGGGCCGGTCTCTGTGGAAATTGAAGAATCCAAGGGGGAGGTCTTTGTCTAGCAGTTGACGTAATTTGACTGAATCGAACGAATACATATTTAATTTATTGAGGCTGCTTTTTTTTTTCAAGGTACGCTCCATCGAAACTTGATCCCCAAAGATGGAGCGTGGAGACCAACCGTGACGTCATCCTGAACATCTTCAGCGACGCTAGAACCATATCTCCCACCATCAGCTTCGCCAACTACCAGTCCAAGTCCAACAGGCAGTCGTACTTCTACGTGTTTGGACATAACTCTGTTAGCACCGATTATGCTCAAGTACGTTTATCTAATATCTATAAAACTGACTCACTCACTCATCACGAAATCTCAGAAACTACAAGTGCTAGGAGTCTCTTGCGTGGAGGATCCTTTTAGAACGTAGGTGCTGACTAAGACGAGATTTTGCAAAATTCAACCCATATGATGGTAAAACGGGATCCACGCGTACGAAGTCGCGGGCGGCTGCTAATTATGTATAGTTTTCTAATAAATGAACTGAATAAATAAATAAATAAATTCCAAATCCTAAAAGCCCTAACTCCCTTAAAAGGGCCAAAATTAGGTCTTAACACTTTCATTTGTTCGGGATTATCGCTACAAAATGTTGAACTCTACCCCAACCCAACTCCTAAAGACTCTGAGAGCATCTTAAGTTTAGACTAAGTGGCTATTTCGAGAAGATGCAAATTCGCATCTCTGTTTATCCTCCTGGGGCCCGGGAATTATTTTTATCGTGAATTCATATGAAAACTATCCAAAAAATATTAATAATTGATATAATTATCTTAAAAAATAAAATAAAAAAAATTATCTGGAAAACGGCAATTTTCTCAATGTCATATATTTACGACATCGGTTCCCAATGTCAACGACTTTTTTATTTCATGTACAGGATGTCCCGTAATAAATTGCACAAAAGTAATTCCTAGTTAAGTTTCTTGACTATCTACAACGAATTTGAATCGATTTTTGAAATATATTTAGATGCCAATTTTTTTTTTACATATTTTTAAGTTTTTTTCTGTCTGTACTTACTTTTTTCTATGCAGTAGATGCAAATATTGATATTTTTTAAGTACCATTTCGTTCAAATGTAGCTAGATAGATTCTTTATCAAGTTTTACGTCATTTTCGGGCAATAACATTGCATCTCTATTTTTTTTTAAATAGTATTTCAAAATTTTATTGCATTTCATATGGATGACTCAAATTAAAAAATCCTTGTGATAAAAAAATGCATCACACCAATGTGTAATTAACATTAAGTGATGTAGATAAGGTCAAAAGCAATAAAAAAAATTACAAAACAATTTGATAAGTACCTAATGAAATTTATTTACTTTCATAAAAAAAATCAAAGTGACTTGAGGTGTTGATAATACTTCTGGGCCGACTTTACCAGTAAAATCGAGTTTTGAGTGTTCTAATATGTTACATTCGCATATATCTACCTAAACAAATAAGAAAATAATATCAGATTGTATGCTATTTAATAGAAAATGTATAATGTCATACAGGTATTACACTGGGCTCTGTCAGTTTACACTAGTAATTGGGACCTCATGTAATACCTGTATGACATTCAGATTTCACCATGGTTTTCGTAGTTTTCATACGTATTTCCACAATCAGTGATACTCAGATAATAAAACAGTTCAAATCCCAAAACGAATAATAACAAAGGCTTATAGAAATCGTTCATATTTTAGTAAAAATTTCATTATTACTAACCACTTGTTCCCGGTCGCGGCGCCGTCGCTAGTTCAATTAAAGATAAAAAATATAAATGTCACTTCACTAGCCAATTACAGCTAAGAATGATGGACAGATGCACCATCTAACTAACTAACGTAAAAGTTCTGTTAAATTTCAACAGTTAGTGTTGATTTATATTTTTTTGTTTTATGTAATAAATATATGACGCCAGGCCCCAGGAGGTTAAAATTAGAGTTAAGTTAAAAAAGTGATAATTTTATTAAACATGCTTTTCTTTAGATAACATGGAACAATTTTTGAAGTTTTGACTTTTGACGTCTAACATAAAATTAAAGATGTCCTACACTAAACCGTCCCGCCCGTGACATAGACAGGGGGGCGCCACCGTTAATACCGAATCGCTGGTTCCGATTTTCGTCACGTTCTGTCTAGTTCGTAGCTGCCATCAATGCCCCGTTACTATTTCTGATCTTTGCCATTTGACGTTTCAAAATCATTCAACTATACTTATGTTCGGAGGTGTCTCGACAAATATCAACGATCAATATTCCATACGTGGCTCCGTTGAAACAGTGCTAGGTAAATGATAAACGGTCTGAAGTCTAGGGGAATTGTACCTTTAAAGTTTCACTTCAACAGGTGCTCCGAACGACGGAATAAAAAGCTGTGGCGACGTGCGGTGCAATGTGTTTGTCTTATTTTGGGACTGGATAGAAAAGGCTAGAAAAATTACTGAGGCTCGTATAACGAAATCACTTAGGCTGGGTTGCACCATCTTACTTTAACTTTGAGAAACGTCAAAAATCTGTCAAATTCCATACAAAAAGCACCGGTTATCGTCATAGTTACCGTTGAAGGTAGGTGGTGCAACTCAGCCTTAAACATAGATTCAGTTCTGTAGGCTATGATTGGTCTCAATAGTGAAATCTAATCATTACAAGGCTTAAAATATCCAAGGCTAAGAGTAAGTTGCATCACTTAACTTTAACCGTAGCTATAACGATGACCGGTATTTTTTGTATGGAGTTTGACAGATTTTTGACGTTTGTTACAGTTAAAGTAAGATGGTGCAACCCAGCTTTAGAGTGAGATTGAACCAAGATCAACACTATAAACATTAGAAAGAAAGAAAGAAAGAAAGAAAGAATGATTTATTTGGCACACAAAAAAGAAACAATAAATCAGGACATTAATATGGAAATAAAAATAAAAAAAATTACAATAACAATAATAGGTAATACTTATAAATGTCTATAAAGGCGATGTACGAACATTACGTTCTTTTAATTAATTAAAAATATCGAATTGCTTTTAGCATGGTTATGAATAACAAAATTAAATAATCTGTACAAAATAGTGTTCGAAATACATAATATTATACGTAACGCATACATAATTACCAAGTAATATTTGAATGTAGTAAGTTATTCATTAACGACTTCCTAATAATCAGAATTTACAGTTATAAAAATATGTTACCCATTGAAGTTAATTAATTATTGCGTGATTGCCTACGAATATTTCAATTTTACGATCGTATTTATTAAAACAGATTCAGTTATCTTTATTATGGATCTATTAACTGCATATTTTTGATTGAAATATGTTCAAAAACCGCAATTTACGATGAAAACGTTTGATAAGCGGTTGAAATAAATCTTGCATTTTATTGCGATAGTTTATATTGCTGCAGTGATAGGAGGAAGCCAGAAATATTACTTTATTTTGTTAAACCGTATCTATAAATTGTGAAAAATAAGGCGCTTTAAAAGGTTAAAATTGGTGAAAAATGAATTTTTCCTTTTTTTTTTTATCTAAGGCTAAACTACGCCTGTAAATAGAGAAAAATCAATGGTATTATAATTAAAATGGTCTCCTAAGAGCATAAGTTATTTTTTATGAATTTATGTCCATTTCATACAGTCTACTGATACAATGCGTATCGCAAACACGATGAAAAATATTATAAAGGTCTCCATTTATGCAAATGCACCTTTGAGTCAAATAGTCCTTGAATTTTCACAAAACATTGATACAAAACTTGACTTATCTTCCGTAGTCCCTTCACTCGTTCCCAGACTTCCGGCTTTGGACAGGGCTTTAAAACAATTTCCTTTCGAGTCTAGGATAACGGAATATCAATAGAGATAGAGAGAAGCCACGATAGCCGAACGGTGAAGGGGTCGGACTGGCCGACTCGTGATCCGGGGAACGCGGGTTCGGTCCCCGCCGCCGCTCGACTATTGTGGTGAGCTCACTCGTGACACAAGCATATTTAGCTTAGTACGAGGGGCTAACGGGAGTATTAGTAATTTGTGTAATAACAAATTACTAATAANAAAAAAAAAAAAAAAAAAAAAAAAAAAAAAAAAAAAAAAAAAAAGAGATGCGCAGAATAAACATGCTAACGGAACAAGGAGTTTTGAAATGTCTAAACTGAAATACATCGGTATTGAGTGTTTATATCCCGAAACATAGGATAGTTTTTATCCCGGTTTTTAAAAGAAGGCACAGATAGTCTTTCTGTGACACCGAAATTTACGCCAACGAAGCTCGGAGCTAAAGCTAGCCATCATCAGGTCATTTGGAGACCTGATCGTATAGATCGCTTCATCCAAGAAGACGCGCTCCACCATTATTCTGCTAATATCTGAGTGTTATCGGTACACGCTAAATTATCCATGACACACGCACACTACAATCAGCTACAGTCAATAATGACGCTCGGATCAAACTCACCGCACCCCGCGCTTCCCTCGTCCAAAAATTGGTGGGGCGCGTCTTCGTGGATGAAACGATTTAGTTGCAGGGGCACAATCGCTTATAATTTATCATAGAAAAAGGTGACTGGGTTTCCTTCGCCATTTCTTCTCAGCACTAGGACAAGCTATATTTGGGACGTATACAGGGTGGAATTTTGTAATGCCACCTGGAGGGAAAGTGCTCTTAATACTGTAGATAGAAAATTTTACTGAAAGAAAACATTCCTTTATTTTTGAAAAGAAAGAGAACTGCATTCATAGATTTTTCGAAAATTCACTAACATGCCATACAATTTTCTGTACTAAATAATTAAGATAATTGAAGATTTCATGGTTTTCCTTTCATTTGATTTATCAAATTTTTAAGAGAGATTTCATCCTTATACTTAACCCTAACGATTGATGCAATAAAAATACAGGGTGTAATTTTTAACAGACTTTATTTGGTTCGATTCCCAGGTGTAGCAAGCAAATTTTTGGAAATCTATGAATGCAGTTCTATTTCTTTTAAAAAATAAGTAAAGGAATGTTTTTTTTGAGAAAAATTTTCTATCTACAATATTAAGAGTACTTTCCCTCCAGGTGGCATTACAAAATTCCACCCTGTATAAGCCTTAAAAAGGGCCTAGGTACTGAATAAAAGTTTCATTCTCCACGTTGGCCAGACGGACTGGGGAAACAAAGCTAGTTAACATAAATTCTGTTCGCAGCTAAACAAAAGCGTCCACGGGCAAGAGATGCCTTATGTCCTGGGAGTGCCACTAGGAGGCGCCACCACCCACTTCCCGTCGGTGTACACCCAAAGCGAGAAACTGCTGAGCGAAGTCGTAATGAGGCTGTGGACCAACTTCGTTAAAATCGGGTAAGGAACTTTAATTTGTAGTTGAAAACTAGTTTCGCATTCGGACTTGTTTTTTAGAAAAGAAATATGTTTTCGCTTCAATGGTCAAAGGAGTTTTGTTGGGAGTTTTTACTTTTAATTCAAATTAGAAGCGCGAAACAGACCAACTCCATTATTGGATTTTGTATTTCTATAATAAGCAACACTTCTTGAATTTTATAGACGCATATACGCCGCTCTGCTGGCTAGAATATAGCCAGTAGGGTAGCATGAAGGGTATTATGTATTATAATACATAATGTTGTATGTTACAGGACACCAAACACTCAGAGTGTAAACAAATATTTCACAGCAGATAAGGAGCAGTGGAACCAATATAATGTGGAGTGGCCCGAGTATGACGTTGCTCACCAGTCATACTTAAAACTAGGTAAGTTCAATATCGTACGTTTAAAATCAATTTGATTCTAACCCCGTCGCCACTGGTGCTTCAGCTACACCAGTCGCCATCGCCGGCGCGATCAAAGGCCAATCAATGACAGGTCGCGTGAACTGTCACAGGTCGCGCGACCTGTCATTCGCCTTTGATCGCGCCGGCGATGGCGATCTGCACGCGTTGGTGTGGTTGAAGCTTGAATCATTATTGTGAACCCACGCGTAACACAAGCATTTATTTAGCTTAGCTCAAGGGGTTAACGAGACTACGAGTATATTAATCCCGTTTCTTAATCGTTCGTTCGTTCGTTTCAGCCGAAAGACGTCCACTGCTGGACAAAGGCCTCCCCCAAGGATTTCCACAAAGACCGGTCCTGCGCCGCTTGCATCCAGGTACTTCCCGCGACCTTCACCAGATCGTCGGTCCACCTAGTGGGAGGCCTGCCCACGCTACGTCTTCCAGCTCGTGGTCGTTTCTTAATAAATACGTAGAATTACTAATTACTCTAATAACAGCAATAGCCCCAATATGTCTGAACCCTTTCTCGTATAGAGATGCTCGCTAAGTCGTTTTCATTTATTTTTTAAACAAACCGTTAATTGAGCATTTAGACTCATTTAGAGCATTCAATCATTCTGTTCGCTTAACAATGCGCTAACCAAAAGTTTTGCAAAGCGATTTACCGAGTATTTTAAAACAATGCTTCTTCGACAATAGCATAATAGTATCAGTGTCGGACTGAATCGAGATCCAAGTTACGCGGGTTCGAATCCCGCCACCGCCGGACCATTTTGTGGTGAACCCACTCGTGATAAGCATTCAGCTTACAACGAGGGGTTAACAAAATTAGGTATAAAAAAAAACAATTATTAAGTTTGATAAACGTCCATGTCTTGTATTTAATGTAGTATCTTAGCTTGCTCTTGATTAAAATTTCACTCTAGAGAACACATACTATCTATGGTCGATCGAGCCTATCTATAATACACAAATTCCTATTCGCTCGTGCCTTGAAGGCTTTGAGTTGTAGGAATTCGGGAACACAGGCTTACAGGGAATTCCACTCCATGCCAGTACGCATTATAAAATACATGAGGCATTTTCATTAGCGTATCACGTAGCTTTTATGATTAAAAATGTATGTCGATCCAGCCTAAAGTGCTTTAGTACCAAATTCCTAAAATATCGTTATTTGGTAGCAAACGTAGCGTACCTTTAACATTGTAATATCGTTAAGTTTGCATATAATAAATATTATACAGGGTGTCCCAAAAAGTAGTGTCAAGCCGGAGCCCAGAAGTTGAGCATCATTAGGGCTATCCAAATCATCCCTATTAATTAAAGCGCTTTTAATACAAAATATGACCTATTACCATTACATAAGGTACTGTTTTATTGTCATTTGTACTGGAATTCCAAGTAACACGACCTTCTTTGGTTGCCGTGCCAAAGGACGGAGCAAACTCAGCTCAACGCGTTATCTATTCACAAGAGGCAAGTTTAACTAAGACGCCAGCAGTCTGTTTGTACAACCAATTCCCACACAATCTAGTATAAACTCGAATTAACCTGTAACGTTAATTGTTTAAATTAACTATAAATTATACATTGAGTGGGAGACGTATTCAGCGGTAGAAGTTTCGTAATAATTGAGGCTTGATTTAAACTTTCAACGTAGTTGTAGTTGCTTTGAGTTTCTATTTATTCATAAAAGACACCAACATTAACTATACATAATAATATTTGTTTCAAAATTATAAGTTTAGAAATACATAAAGATACCGCAGTATTTATTTTTACTTAAACTGACATTAGTACACTTAGTGCAAAATAATTGTTGAATTCATAACGAGTTGTTAGGCCTCAGCCTCGAACTTAGCGGGCAGCGGGGCGGCGGCGGCGGCGGCGCGTGAGCGGCAGGATCTTATGCGTAAAATCAAATAGACCGGTTCTCGAAAACAGCGGCGCGGCAGCGGGGCGGCAGCGGGCAACGAGCGGGCAGCGGCGAGGGAGCGGGCAACGAGCGGGCAGCGCACTCCTTCTTTTGCCCACAATAAATCGAGCGTAAGGAATAAATTTGAATCGAAATAAAATTGTCGCCGTTGTTCGGACATTTCGTTCGCGAATAAAAACAAATATCTCGACAACACAACCCTGAACACAACACTTCGCCGCTAAAGCGCCGCGCGAGCTGCCCGCTGGTTTCGAGAACGGGTCTGCGTTGCCCGCCCCGCTCCCGCGCCGCCGCCGCCGCCGCCCCGCTGCCCGCTAAGTTCGAGGCTGAGGCCTTACACTACAGCTTTTACAAAATTAGGCTGAATTGCACTACCTAACTTTAGCGGTAATTATAACGGCTATTATTTTTATGGAGTTTGACAGATTTTTGCTAAAGTTAAAGTAAGATGGTGCAACCCAGCCTTACAGCGTTGTTACGAAAAATACAGATCTTTACTTCAGCTATCGTTAATCACATCAACTAGTATGCCCAGCAGAATATTTATAGTAGATAACATTACACGGATACCATTAATTGAACAAATTGTTCGTAATCTCAAACAAGGAATTATTATTTCAGATATCCCGCCCCACATAAGCAGTTTATACAGATCAAACTACACGAGTTTTTGGACGGAGGTCCTTCCTAAGAAGATGAGGGGATACGTTGTGGATCCACTATTTGATTACACGCCCACCTCCTCTACTCCGCGACCTAAACCAACACACCGGGCCACGAGCAACTGTAATTATATATCCCTTTTGAAACAGTAGTAATATCATAGTTTGTTATGCCTATTCAAGCATACCTCTTTTGAGTAACCTTCACATGTAATAATAATAATAATATCCTTGGACATTTTTACACTGCGCCTCTAGTCCCAAACTAAGCAAAGCTTGTACTATGGGTACTAGACGACGGGATAAACATACTTATATACTTTTTTTTTTGTAAATACATACATATTATACATAGAAAACACCCAGACCCGTCACAGAAATGTCTTGTTAATCATTTTCTCCGTGAAACCGTCGTTATGTCATCGTCTCTCAAACTAATAACATCCCAGTTATACATTCACTGCATTCCTTTTAATTCTTAAAACTTTCAAATTTTCTATAACAGACTAACATGTTACCTTTCAATATAATATTATGTTATGATGAATTTGTATTTTTTCACAGATGCGATCAGACAATCATGGCCAAGGCCGGGACCAGCAGTAGAGAGACCCACATTCAGCGCACCATACGGAACAGTCCACTCGTACTCTGCCCCTGTTCATAGGCAGACAGACACTGACTCTATTTACCGACAAATCCAGTTACTATCAACACCACACAGGCCACCACCTCCTCCGAACATAATAGAGGAAATAGAAAAGAAATCAATACGCACATCAACTGAAAAACAAAAGAATAACGCAAATAACTTGCCTGTAAAGATATCAAGCGCTACTATTACTCTTGTCATCTCTCTGGCTGTTTTATTCATAATACTGAATATCGGTATTTGCTCAATAGTGTACATAAAAAGACGTAATATACGATCCATGCGTAATATGGTTGAAATCAGTGGTGCTCATTCTCGCGCAGATGTTGGTGAAGTTGATGTCATTGGCCAAAAAAGTTCAAAAGATGACAAAAGCGCTTTGCAAACACTCAAAAATAGTTGCAGCGTTATCAAGTCAATGAGTTTTAGTAAAATTAAAAACAACAGCAAAAAGACGAAGAAGAAAAGTGAACCCTGTAAAACGCCAAAATCAGACGACTCCGGAGGTTTTCGAGAACGATTTCAACTCAGAAGGCATTTATCAACGAGCACGTTAGATGCTCACACAAAAGTAAGGGACTGGATAGCTAATGAAGTCATGCATCGCTGCTCTCCAGGTATTCTTAGAAAATCTAATTCTGATTTGAATACTGACAAGCAACTGAGCTTACCTAAACCCTTTACGAGATCGGAAGAATTATTATCCGATACAAAGAAAATTAAAAAAGATACATTAAAAGTAAGTGATGCTAAGGCTGTACTTGAAAAAACTGGGAAAACACGTACGTCTGAAAAAACTACATCAACTTCGGCACTTGGTTCTCATTCGTCTTTGAGCAGCAATAAACATTCATTATCAAGTACCAAACATCCTAAAAAATCTACTGATTCTTTAAAAAGTAAAGGCACTGATAGTGTCAAGTCTAAAAAGGTTTCAGTGGCTATTGATGCCACACCAGCTGCACGAACAAACTCTATACTAAAACAAGAACCCATAGAAATTTCAAAGTCGTTGGACTATGAAGAAATCAAACATTCCAACAAAGATAGAAAACTGGAACGATCCAAAACCGATGGAGAAATTCAAACTGATCTCGATATAACTAAGTTCACTCTTCCAAAGTCTGACGACAAAAGCCCAACTTTCAAAAACGTAGTAACGTTATCTGTAGGGCAAAGTGTGCCTTTGAAAATATCTCACAAACATTCCTCATCAGATCCAGTAACTGATGTCAATTACGAAAAATTGATGAAAGATCAAATGGAAAGCGGCACACAAGTAATCAACATACTACCACCAGTGACATTTAGAAATGATATAAACGTCACATCCCGTGACGAAAGTGTTCAAATAGAACCCATGAGTGCGGAAGAAGCGTTGTGGACTATAAAAAAGCGCAACTTTCCAAAAGTTCTTCCAGATTTACCCAAGGCGCAAAAAAGATTGTCTTTACAGCCAGGAGCTTTACAAACGTTCAGGAATATGGGTAGTGCTGATTATGATCGTCTTAAAGTTCCACCACAGCCACCTCCTAGAACCACTACGTTAGATCGACGACTTGCTTACAAAAATACTAAACCGCTATCATCATTTGATAGTGGAAACCACAAGAAGATAACTGAGGTAGATACGAGTGCACCTAAGAATTATGAAAATATAGATACGTTGTCACCGTATACCAACACAGTATTTAGCAGGTCATTTGAAAAACCTTCGAGTTTTGATACAGTAGATTCAACAGCAATAACAAAAGAGAGAGAATTCCCTAAGCTAATAATTGCATCGTCATCTGCTCCAGAGTCAAACATAATCATTAAACCATCACCAAGTCAAACCGAAATTCCCACGAATGTACCCCGTATTAAATTACCCGACGATTTTCACTCACAAACGACTGGCTCAATTACTTCATTTTCATCGTTTTATTCCGATGACGATGATCAAGATGAAGACATCGACGAAGAAAACATTGACGAACTATTTGAAGACAAACTTATACAAGAACTTGTTGGTGGGGTTGAATCACCAACAGATACTATGCTAGACTCCAAAGGACCAGTAACTGCATTTGAAAGGAAGCTAGAAATAGTGCCAGTGAAAATAAATCCTGGTCACATAGCACCAAAAAACAAAGAAGATTACATTTGCATTTCAGACTTGCATCTACCAGATGTAAGTGATTTAGAAAAGACTGCTCAAATAAAACCAAACTTTGGACTGAATAAACTACAGCACAGAACAGAAAGTATACACAGACCTCCAGAGAAGGCAGTCAAACTAAAACAGAAGAGTAATTCCTTTTTGAAGAGAAGTAGGAAAGACCGAAGAAGAAGCGATAAAAGTAAAAGCAGCAGTAGTGGTAGTAACTTAGAACATTCAAATTCTGGTTCATCGAATGACACAGAAACGAGCACTGGAACGGTTAAAAAGGTTGAAATAAAGAAAGATAGTTAAGCTTTAAGATCTTAGAATAATGCTTCATCATAACGTACATTATTATGTGAATAATTTTATAAGAATACTTCACCTTTTATTGACCAAATACACCACTAGATTTGGTTAGTAAACTTTACTAAATTGCATTAAAAATATACAGTTTTTTTATAATAATTTATGTGTTTTATTGAATTTTCACAATAATTTTACAATAGCACTTGAATTTGGTATTAAAACTATTGTACTAAATTACCTACTCTGGCTTTTTGAACCTTTAAGACAGAGCAAATAGAAATGATAGGCACAGGTAGGTACTTCTGTAAGTAACTCTTTTGGTCTTTATTTGTTCATATTAATTAGTATTATCAACAATTTAAGTGAAAGAAATTCTTATTATCAAAAGTCAGAACATCATCATTCGTAGGTTATTCATCTGATTTCTTTAAAAATATGTTTGTTGGCTCACTTTCCTTGAAATAACACGACAATTATTTATGACTTCTCAGAATTTCAAGTATTGTACGCTAGAAAACTGTCATAAAACGGAGCAGAAATTAAACAATCTTTCCTGGTATCTGGGATCTTTTATTATCGTTTAAAGTAATGTGACTTTTGAGGACTCGTTTGATCTTTGCTCTTGGTGTAAGTAATAGAAACTTTGCTGTCTTTGACTTAATTAAGAATAAATTCATCCTTCATTAAAATAAGAAAGTTTGAAAAGATTCTCATATAGATGACCCACGCTGAACTGTCCCACCAAACTCAATGACAGGGGGGCGCTACCATCGGTCAACTATATGGTTTCCAACATGGCAAAAATCTGAACCAGCGATCCGGTATTGACGGTGGCGCCCCACTGTCAATGTCATCGACAGGACAGTCCAGTATTTTGGAACTATATCATAATGTTTTGGAGAGAGCACTTTCTGCTTGCCAAAACGACTCTTCTCTTAATTTTGCAGAAATCATTGTAGAAACAAGTCTTTAAACTTTAGTTTTAAAATAATGGTCAATAGTGGTAATAGAGGAGGCCTTTGTCCAGCAGTGGACGTCATTTGGCTGAAACAACAGTGGTAATAGAAATTGAAACTCGGGAACAGGGCTGAGTGTGAGTTTACATCAAAGGTCCTCACTTAGCCTGGGTTGCACCATTTTACTTTAACTTTGACACACGTCAAAAATCTGTCAAACTCCATACAAAAAACAGCGGTTATCGTTATAGTTACGGTCAAAGTTAGGTGGTGCAACTCAGCCTTATAGTGAGCGCGTTAAAAAATTGTATGAAAAGTTTAGTTCTTGAACGTTTCCGCTAGGGGCGCTAGGCGCTCGCTAGTGAAAAAATGACGTTTAATGTATCCGTCATACATTAAACGTCATTTTTTCACTAGCGAGCGCGTTTAATGTAAATTCACACTAGGCCCTCTGGAAAAAAATGCTCTATTTCATTGTTAAGTAGCTAATTGTTATCCGCTGAGAGCTCGTCTCTTGGCTACAACCCGAAATGTTAAAGTCAACATAAAGCCCGTTATCAGGGGCTGTGAGTTCGCAACTGTAATTCTGAACTCATGATTCCTGAACCTTGCTTCAAGTTGCTTCATGACAACTCGGTCGATCCACCCGATCCCGCGGAATCTAAAAACTTTTGCAATTAAAATGTCGCTTACGTCTTAAGCTGAAGATAATGTATTTATGGAACGGTATTTACATACTTAAAGTATCTAAATTGCGAATCATTATCATTGTTTAAGTAACTCTTCTCAATGTGTACAGTTATCATGCTGAATGACAGTTAATGTTTTCTTAAGACTTTTAGCTCACAATAACAGAAATTCTAGCTGTAATTTTTTCCTTTTTTGAGAAATAAGGCAACGCTTTATTATGGAAATCTGTATGCAATAAAAACAACAGTACCTAGTGGTTTGGTAAGTAAGTAAGTTAGTAAGTCTGTCTCGATACAAACTACTGGTTTTTGCTTAACTTCATCAAAAGCTGATTTGACTAAGCTGTTTCGCAGACAGGGATAAAAAGTTATTAATTCTATCTTAGTCTAGATTCCATCGCCGAACTAACGTTAATCTGCAATCCTAGAAAGAAATACCATTAAAATATCTTTAGTCAGAACAAAGAGTTCGCAATCTGGTTTAATTTAAAATGGATTAACTTTTTTTTAAAGAAGTGCAACACCTAAGGGACCTGTGATCTTTATTATATACGAGTTGTATGGTCTGAATATTGTGGGTGTCTGACATTATGGGTGTGAAGTACAGCGAATTCCGATATTATCAATTCGTGAACTGAACGCAGATGTGGAAGTTTGTGAGAAAAAGCGTCAAAGAATTCCCAAAATTCTGTTGTCTGACAAAAACTGCTCACCTCATTAGTTCCAAACTAGAACAACATGCTCGGATGCCATGATTGCAATTCCCAACCAAATTTCCCGTTATTGCCCCTTTGAGTTAGAACTCATAACCGTTCCTTTGTCACGTCGTGTGCAACAAAGGACAGTTATGCGCTTCAATTAAGGTTGCAAACGAGTTGCTTTGCCCGGGAATAAATTAATTTCCCTTCTTTTCTAGGAAATATAATTAGTACCTTTACAGGCATCGTTTTCTACTTCATATTATTAATGTGAACTAAGGTAACATTTCCAAGAACATAAAAAATTAGAATGTTTATATCCGTGAAATAATTTTCGGCACCAGGTGAATGCGTTATAACTCTCTACTCTGTAGTACATTCACTTCTTTCAGCTTCGACAGCTTTATGCCCTATGCATGTCGTTTCCTACCCACAAACATGGCATACAAAACGTGAAGCTATAAAACGCAAAGCTAACGTACGTCGGACACCGTACACCCAACGGAAATCAGAGAGGAACGTATCGTGCTGTAAAACTACAGGGGTCTTACTCTGAAAAACTTTGAGGACGTATTCGATACTATTCTACTATTTCTCTCACCCTAGAAATATTGCATGAGTGAAGGAGAGACAGCCAAAGCATAATTTGGCGTCTTTGTAGCGGAATAGGTCCCATAGGCTTTTAGAACACAGAACGGCAAATAAAATGTTACAAAAATGGTGAAACCGTGCTAACGCATGACCTGAGCTCGCTGTATTTGATGAGGAATATTCCTGATATTCGTTTTGTTGTTCAGTGTGATCGATAAGGTTTACCAGCGGGATCAGATTTTAGGTAAAATGAAAAACGCTTAAATTATCTTCTAAGTATTAGGTATTTAGTATAAACGAAACTGAATCACGAAACAAAGTAAGTACTCGTACCTATTGATAGAACCGAACGTGAAGAGCGTGCGTAAAATCTTTTGACTCGCGTTATTTTTTCGTGTCCGTTTTTTTTTTGCTAGTTGTCTTAGCATCTCGCGCATTTAGGTAGTCAGTTATTAAAAATATATTCTTCTGAAGAAAAACATAACTAAAAGATGTTTAAATATTTTAGAACTCTATCTACATTTAACATTTAATATCCTAAATATAAACAGCTTCAAACCACTACAGACCCAGCAGAAACTACATAAACGCACATCTGCCTGTTATTCGCCAGTTTAAGCCCGTTTAAACGCTATCAAACAGAATTTCGGTGAGTACACTCGCGTAGAATTTACTTTAATCGTCTCATATTTTTCCAAAACAACGACGTGTAGAATGGCCCCCGTGTGGTTTGCACGCGATTCGTGTTGATTTCAGATACTACGATTCGATTTCAGTACGATTTTGTTAGTAATCTGATAATGATGCAAAATTAGGATACGTTACAGGGTTAGTTAAACACAAACTAAATAGTTAACGCTAGTCTAAAAGTGATTATAGACTAGAGCACTTATAGTTGTAACAGAACAACGAGCCGCTCTATGAAATGTTTTAATATCAGTGTCTGTGTCACTCTTTCAGGAACCAAACGTCGTATATCTTACTTTTATTTTACCCTTCGTAACAACGTTAAGTTACATATAAATTCTCTAGTGTCTTTACTCATCTTAATAGCGTACAATTTGTTTTTTATTCAGCTTTTGCGTGCCTTCGTTCATGTGAATGAAATTCCCAACGCCCCTTTTCATTCAGGAAGTTACAGTGTAAGCGTATTATGAAAACACATTTTTATAAAATATCGGAGACTTTAAAAGCATCCACAAAATATCGTTTAACATATTTTGCTTAGAATTTATCGCTTGAAGATATTGTGCGGCGTCGAAGAGCCATGAAAAGCAGGCTTGGAGATTTCATTTATAAACTCGTACTGTACAGGATTTAAGCTATTTTCAGCGGGTTCCAGGTAAAATTGTAATTGTATTTTGGCCAATTCTATACGCGTTTCTTCTTAACTCGTAAGCCTGTTTGATTTGGCATTCCTGGTAATGATTCAAGGTTCGGAACTCCAATGGGATCATACATACATAACTTAATAATAATGTATAACTCTGTCAGGAAAATTGAGTCTTTGTGCGAGTAAAAAAAAAATTTGGAAATTAACTAACTAGAAGTTATATCACAAAACAATACAATCCTTTTTTATTTTCGCGACCATTTTATTGTCCACAAGCAGTGTTCAAAGACACTGCGGTCTCCGACTTCCAGCTCTTACGGTGTATTTGCGTGCCATTTGATCGATGACGTCTACACCAATTTTTTTTGCATTATAAAATTCAACTGTTTCAGGCAGCTTTTTTTATCAGTACCTATGTTGACGTTGGGGTGTAGAGTACTCAAAATAATAACAATTTTTACGGGTTTTCCTTGATAGGAAGTAAGGGTTATATCGGTCTCGGTTTTCATTATGAAAGTTTCATATCTTATAGTATGAATACCTCTACAAATCGGTGGTACTTCTCGTCTTGCACGCCGCATTATTCCAACAATACTAGTCTTTTCGACCATTACTTTTTTAGCCAAATTTAGAGACGTGAAAAAGTTGTCAATGGTTACGTTTCGGCCCTTTTGGAAATTGGGTTGTACTAGTTTCGAAACCACATAACCACGACTGCTCACCGAACGAAACCAATGTCTACTGTAAAATGTAAACAAGCTAGGCAGTAACAACTTACTCAGAATTCAATTCAACATAAATAAAAACAAAAGTACCCACATTAGTTTGAAGAAATCTTTGTTTA